GGAGTCCCCATCCCTGGAGGTATTTGAAAGACGTGTAGATGAGGCGCTTAGGGACTTGGTTTAGTGCGGATGGTTGGACTCAATGATCTTAGAGGTCTTTTCCAACCTTAATGATTCTATGATTCTAACCTTTGCTTCCAAGCATGACCTTGGGCAAACTGTCCCATCTGCCAACATCAGTGCACCCTGTCCAGTGCTGGGGTGAGCCCCCTCAAGGCCGTCAGCTCTTTGGGGCAGAGAGTGTCACTTCCAAGAGAGCATCCCGCACAGCAGAGCCCTAAGGGGATGACTGCAAACCTTTTTCAGCCTCAGACCAAACCATACATTTGAGGAAGAGACGCTGGAGGGAAGAGCCTGGCATGGAGAGCGTTGTCTCTCCCCCAGAAAAGCAAATTTGATGCCTCATATTAAACGTAGGGGAGAAGGATGAGTTTGTGGTTGTTCGTTATGGCATGGTGGAGGAGAGGAGGTGAAAACAGAGGTGGAAGCTGCAAAAGGAAGGTTACAACCAGACACGACCTCGTATCAGAGATCTGCATCGGTCTCCACCCCAGCCCTGTACCTGCACAAGTTCCCCCCATATCACGCAAAGTAAGAAACCAGTGTCTTCCCACCACTGCAATTTTTTCCATACCTGGACAGGAATAAGAGGCTCTTTGTCATCGATGTCAATTAGGACGTCATCCCTGGGCGTGAGGCTCACATCATCTGCAATCAGAGCAAACACGAGCATGACCAGGACATCCAGCTGTTAGAAACCCCAAAGCCGAGCCACCTTGGGATCAAGCTCCAGGAGCGATCTCAACCTTGCCCAGAGCCTTCACACCAGCCAAAGCTCATGTTCACGCGGGTTGGACAGCTTGGCCAAGGGACAGCCCAGCTCACCAACCAACCCCGGAGCTAAACTCCTCCTTGGCACCTCCTGGGCTTTTTGGATCAGACCTACAGCTGAGCTGAGCTAAAAGCAACGTATACAGCGACCCACAGCTCCTCCTGGAGAAGGGCACGGGTGTGCAGCCAGCATGGTCCTCATGGCAGCACGTACCTGAGTGCTCCTGGGGACCGTCCGTCTCCTCTCGGTAGGGGTCACAGTAGAAGTCCTCCAATGAGCGGATGGTGCACTGCCCCACCACAGGCCTTCGGCCAAACGGCCTGTTGTCAATGATTTTGACGATGATGGGGGGGCTGTACAGGCTCTCCTTGGGTAAACGCTGTGGGCAGAGGGGAGGGAACACGTAACTACGCAGGGCAGAGAGGGCAGCTGCTATGCACCTCCCCAAAAGGAACCGAGGAGAGCAAGACAGAATTAACTTCACCATAGGATGCATTTTTTATGGGACCTCTGGAGGTCCTTCCCAATCAGCTCTCCTATGACCCCACCACTGCAGGGTGGGGACCAGGTGCTCACCACTTCCATGAAGAGCACGCAGACGTCAAAGTTGGGGTTCTTCTTGACATTCTTGATGACGCAGGACTGCACGAGCTGGCCTCCACACTCCACCAGCAGGCTGGGCGAGGTGACGCTGGCCAGCTGGTAGCTCTTGAGGTTCCTCAGCCCCCAGGCCAGGATCTGAAGGGTGAAGGGAACAGACAGCAAAGACTGAGCCAAAGGTCTGCCTCCAGGACTCTCACTGAGCTTCTCAGCAATGGAGGTAAACCTGAAGGTTGGCCCACCATGAAGGAGAGCCACATAGAATCATAGAATCATAGAATCATTGAGGTTGGAAAAGACCTCTAAGATCATCGAGTCCAACCGTCAACCCAACACCGCCATGCCCACTAAACCATGGCCCTAAGCGCCTCATCTACACGTCTTTTAAATACCTCCAGGGGTGGGGACTCCACCACTTCCCTGGGCAGCCTCTTCCAATGTTTAACCACTCTTTCAGTAAAGACATTTTTCCTTACATCCAATCTAAACCTCCCCTGCCGCAACTCATGGTAACATCAGCCATGTAGGACAGCTGGTGCTGGGAGAAGCCAGGTCTTACAGCAAGCATTTCTCCGGATGCACCAATACACCAGGTCCACAACTGCTTACCTATTAACGGAGCATCTCTGTTTTGGGCAAGTATCCCAGTGTGAGGCAGACTGTCCTTCTAAAAACCAAGTGTGGTCCAGGGCTGTGCTCTGCCCTAGGACTTGACTGCTTGGTGAGACTTGTTTTCCCAGCAAGACAACGTTTTTTGACTGATAACCCATGGGCAGAACCAGCTCCCAGCACTGGCGGGACTCTGTATCCACAGAGTCTGGCTTGGATCCCATTTCTGGGTCTCATCCCCTCTGTTAGGGGCACACATTAGGGGTGTTATTCTGTGAGGGGGTGAGCTGCCTCATGTGCTCCCCATCACTCACCTCGATGGCCGTGCGCTGCAGGACCGGTTTGATTCCTTGGGGGACCATGTAAATGTTGGGCTCCCGCTGGGGTGGGGGGTACGGCAGGTCAGAGTCCGCGGACTGCAGGGAGCAGAGATGCGAAGGGCACATCAGGTCATGCCACGATGGCACACCAACCCCATCGCCTCCCCCTCCCCACGCTGTCCTGTCCCCCCCCCCCCCAGAGTCTCCTTCTCTCTGCAAAACTCATCTCCCCCCAGAAGTCCAGGACAGCTAGAGAGGGGGAGATGAGGGCTGGGGGGATGAATGTACTTGCAAACTGTTTCTCTCCCTTTAATCTGACCCTGGAAAAGATCAAACATCTACTGCTGAGAGCGATCCCCGAGCCTTTCCCAGGGAACTAAGAGGGATCTGCCCTCCATCAAGCTTCAGCCTCCTTTAAGGGAGGAAGGTACGAAACCGCATCTATCCCACGCCAGGACCACGGTGAGACAGTTATGCAGAGGGATGAGGAGAGAGGACGAAGCAGCAGCAGAGGGTTAATTAGTGAAATACAGCTCCTTGAGCTGGACAGAGCTGTGACCAGCTCCTGAAGAGCAGCAGGCAGTTTAGTGGGGGCAGCGCCGCGGGACGGAGGGTCGGCATCGCCTCCGGATGCAGGAAGGGGTCATTGTTCATTCGTGGCATACAACAGCTCAGCTGTAAACCTTATCTGGCAGCTGCCAAGCTGCCGGCCACAGGACAGGGCTCAGGTAAAGCTGTCTGTGCACCATGTATACAGAAGGAGATTTCCTTCAGGGTGAGACCAAATCTGGACAGCAGGTGAGGGATTCAAAATTTGCCTTCACAGAGGAGGAAAGCAGGGAGCCAGACTTCCACAGCTGCTTGCAGAGGATGGGCTCTGAGCCCTCCCAGCGTTCGGCTTCTTTTTGACCTGCATCTTCGAGTTCAGAGTCACCAAAAAGGCAGGAATGAAAGCAAAACCTCTAAAAATGCAACCCTCAACCAAGGGCAGTTGGAACCAATTTAGGAGACTGGCATTCTTTTCAGGCTGGAGTATTATTGCATTAAATTAAGTGTGTATATGTATTTCAATTATAGGATTGGTTCAGGTTTATATATGCATGTATATAAATGCTATACAACGGGATTTTTCACGGTGGCATGTTAGATATACGAGACGCTAAGCTTTAATTTTCATTGGCAATTGCTGGTGGCTGCTGAATCAAGCTGCTTGTTAGCTGAAGACTTTTGGTAACTCCATTTCGGAACAGATGTCTGGGTTTCCACGCAGGGCAGACAGTAAATCTGGGACAGGCAGTCCCACCTCCCACGGCCCACATGCTTGCAGAAATGGTTAGCGCTAGCAGGGAAAGGGAAGGTTATCTGGGAGGTGAGTGCCTAAGGAGAAGGGAGAGGTGCAGAACATCCCCAGCATCGCTCAGGTGCTCGGCACTTCTGGTAATCCACCTACTTACCCAGAGCCTGAATTTCAGACTCCTAAATGAGACGTTGCACCACCAACATGAGCTGATCCTGCCTTGGGGTAGAGGGATAGACCAAATGGCCCTCAAAGAGCTATCCTCAGCTTTTGTTTGTGATCCATAGCACTTAGATCACATCAAGTTGCCTAAGCACGGACCGAACCAAGAAAAGCTTCAGTCCTCCCTTGTTTAGTGACATATGTTCATTTCTAGCTTTAAATGTGCTTAAGTTGCATTTAAGTTGCATAATAGAGATGCAGAGCTGGAGAAGCCACCTAGCCCATCTCCAAACCCCAAGGTAGGGTCAAACTCCACACAGCCCCTGTGAGGTGGCTGCACAGCCTGTTCCCAAAAAGGGAGGTTTTTTTCCCTAACAGAGCACCTAAATCTTCACTGATGCAAATACCATGCGTTACATTTCCATATCGTCATTGGACTCAGGATCATTTCTGGCAAATCTGTACGGGAAAAGGGGTAAGCCTTGGGGAAAGAGCTCCTGCCTGCCCCCCATCCTCCCCAGGTTCAGCAGCAGCTTTGAAAGCCAACAGTGCGCGCTTGGTTCCTAACACTGCGACGTCTTCAGCAACAGCGCTAGCTGTTTCTAAGTCCTTCTCAACCCCTGCTGCTCTCCTGGTTGTTTTGCAGTGGTTCTCCTGGTTCTTAGCATTAAATATTTCACCAGATGGGACAGAAATGAGCAGTGAGTGGGGACCAGGCAGGCGCAGGGAGGGTTCAGGGTGGTAGTGGTTAACAAGCAATTCCCAGACACAGCTCTCAACCCAGACACAGCAGGCTGGATGGAGGAGACATCCATGAAAAGACCTGTGGGGATCAGCTGGCAGCTGGGATGGTTTGAATGAGACAAGTCAGAGGGAATGAGGGTGGAAGAGAGCTCTGGAGATGATCTAGTCCAACCTTGACATTGGTACAGGGTTGGAAGAGAGATGAGTGAAAGTCAACACAGATCAGACCAGTTAAAACAGTGGCTGGAAACATCTCCCAGTTTGAGCGCACAGCTGGGCCACCTTGTTTCAAGAGGGGCTTAAATCCCAGTGCTTGGAGGGGATCTAGCCCCAAAAGGCTACTGTCATTTGCACCAAACAGGAATGCAGCAGAAGGAAGTCTGTGCCAGCCTGGCCGATCGGATACATCATGAGCCTGAATGATGCATGTATGAGCCTGATTCTCCACAAGGCTCGTTATATACTGCTAAGGGCACCAGAGACCTCAGGCTGGCATCACTCTCTTGGATGCCACCTCAGTGGGTTGCTCTGGATGGAGTTGCTGCGGGGCAGGTGGAGCAGGCCAGGCCATGTCTGAAGGAGCTGGTGTCTCCGAGAGTCTCTGTTGGGACTTTGCTTGGTTTCTGGGCAAAGGCAGAGGAACAGAGGAGAGTCAAGTGTTTGAGCATAAAAGGTACCCATTGGAGGAGCCCCTCGTAGAACAAGGCAGGGGTGCAGAGCTGCGGAGTGCCCCATCCAGAAATGGCAGTGGCAAGAAATGGAGGAGAAAGAGCAGAGAGATGGTTATGTTTACACGAGCTCATCCATCTCAGCCCACATGGAGCACAAAGATGAGCCCCACACCATCAGGAAAGGCTGCTTGGGGGGGGGAAACCCATCTTGCAAAGATGTGTTTATCCCATCCAACCTTCCATGGAAATGCGGCCAGGTCTTTGCATGCCCCAGGTCCCTCCTAGCTCATCTCCCAGACTTTGGGGTTAACTGGCTCCTAGGGCCACCACGACACTCAAATAGATGTGCCCCTTGTTCAGCTCCCTGCCTTGTGTTTTCCAAGATACCAGCCTACCCTGACACGGCTTGGTGCAGCCTGTGATCTGCTCTGTAGGACGCACAAGGTCTGGGTAGCAACTTCGACAGGTTGCCCAAGCAGCAGCTTGGGATCCTGATGAGAGTATTTCCTTCAGAGCAACTGGAACAGTCCAGCACATGCCCCGATTCATGGCGAATTCCCCATGAAAAGCTGCAAACTTTTCAACCGGGATTTCAGTTGAGGTCCAGCCAGAGGTCATCCAGCATTTCGGCTTTTGCATGCTTTGTCTGGAAGGGTTGAACACCAGTAGACCTCATGCACGCACATCCCACAAAGGTTAAATATTGCCCGACATGCCCTGCCATCGGGAACGCTTCCTGGGTTAAGCACGGAGCCCATCTACCCTGTCCTGCTGGTGGTCACTCGGGCTACCAAAATCCTGATGCTATCGATTTGACTCATCTGAAAGGAAGTGGCTGCCCCGTGGAGGTACAATTTTAACAATCTCCAAGATGAAGAGACGACTAAATCTTACAGACTCACCTCATCCAGACTGGAGGACAGCTCATTCTGGAGGAGAGAAGGAGCGTACAGAGTTAGAGCAATTCTCATCCATAAGCCCATCCTAGTGCTTATAATTGTGGCTGATAACTGAATAGAAAAATGATGCTTTCCAAGTTTCTGCACACCACCATCCCCAGGTTTGAGAAGAAATCAGTGCAGGTGACTTAAAACCATTTAAAATCCAGCATCAGTTAATGCCTTTGCTCAGTCAGGCTGCAGGGCAGGAACACGCTGGAGCAGTTGGAAAGCACAGCCCTTCGTGATGGGAATGCTGAAATTATCACAGGGCAGGAAGGCAATGGTGTGTTTGAGACCTGAGGAATTATATCAGGAATGGGGTACATCTGCCCTGTCAAAAGTGAGCTGCCCCAATCACTCCAGCTGTCTTTACCACCAGCTGAAGGAAACTGGCATCTCTACGTGGGGATTCCTTCATCCCAAGGTAGGATGGACAAATTGCCTGCAGAAGCAGGGTTGCAAACAGAGTGCACTGCAAACCTCTGCAGGAGCAGCTGATGGTGCTGGGACCCAGCAGCTCTGTAGGGGCAGGGGAGGGGACGGTTTGAGGGGCGTAGAGCCTAGGAGCTGCAAACAGGGTCATGGCATTACCTCGAAGCCAGGGACGTGATGGACAGCCGGCTGTGGAGAAAAAACACATACTTTCCATTTGCCCTCCTGGTGCTAACTCAGCTTTATCTGGCAGAGAAACATCAGTCCTCCCATAGCCACACGCTGCCACCCTCCATGCCCAGTGCTGGGCTCCAAAAAGCCTGGGTACGAGGGCAGGGCTCTCCCTCCCGCAAGGAGGCACGAGCAGAGTCTCAAATCCACCCGGCTGCTTTCTGCTAGGATCAAACAAGATCCTTGGAGAGGAGTCCCCTCTCCAAGGTCTTCCCCACCCAGTTCTGAGGGGAGTGAAGAGGAAGGAGGGGCTGCATGCAGATGATTCGGTGCCCCGTCCCGACAGCAGAGGCATCCCCTGATCCCGACCCAGCAGCCCCTCACTGGTGCGGCAAGGCTTGTACCCAGCGCATCCAGCCCCGGCAGCTGCAGCAGCATCATGCACAGAGTGCAGCATCCCTCCAGGAGCAGAGCTGGGGCGTACATCGGAGAGAGGGAGGAGGTAGCTGTGGGACCCCCGTTCCCAATTAGCGCCTCGGGGCTGGGAGGGAGGAACGGGACAGGGAGATTTAGCCTTCCAGTCCACTCAGTTTCCCTGGCATAGAGGCACATCTGGGCTGCAGCCAGGCGCCGCGGCCAGTGGAAAAGCCAGAGACGAGAGAGGCGAAGGGGTGGTGCGTGCAGGGGGACAGGGAGGGTGGGAAAGCACACAAGAGCACACTGGGGAATGATGAGGAGTCTCTCCTGCCCGGGCTGGCTCCGAAGCGCAGCCTCCTTCCCCTGGGGCTCGTTACATGAACAGCCAGCACTGAGTGCGGCAGCTTGCTGCAGGAGCAACCGCCCACTTCGGCTCTCATAAACCCCCTCCGGAAATTAACTCTGAGCAAAGGGTAGCTCTCTGGGGCCAAGTGCACCAGGCTCTTCCCGTGGTGCGAAAGTGCCGAGGCTCTGAGCTCAGCACCACAGCCAACCGGGCTGGCAGGGCGTGAGCGGCGCCTCCCGAACCGGTACCCAGCAGCCCAGGCTTTGGTCTGGCACCGAGACTCCTCCCGTTGACTCTGCTAAACGCCTCCCACGCACGCCACTGCGGTGCAGCCAGCGCTGAGCATCATGGCTGGGTCTGCTCGGAGCAGGGGTCCTGGTGAAACCGAGGACAGACAGCTGCAGAGCTGTTGAACCCAGGTGGACATAACCCAGCGCCGAGCAAAGGTTGGATCCTGCCGGGTGCTGAGACACTCCAAGGGAAGAAGCCAGCATTGCAATTAGAGACAGGATCAGGTCCAGATGGGGAGCTCACCTTCTCCCTCTGAATCAGCTCGAAGGCAGCCAGCAGCTCGCCGACATTTCTGTTCGCCTTGATGACCGGGTGCCAGGAGAGCCGTGGCGAGTGCGCCAGGCTGGGCTTGCAAATGCAGCGCCCCATGAACTCATCCGCACCCTGAAAGGCAATCACAGGCACAGGGAGCTTTCTTCCCACCCCACTTCCCGGTGGAGTCCGTCACCACGCACCCACATCTCAGCCGAGACCCTATTACTAACAAATCAGGCTCAATGTCTGAACCATTGTGGGACCAGTTCAGAAAAAACAGATGGTTTTGATGCCCATATAGACTCAAGTTTTCAAACTCCTCCCTTTAATTACTAGGGCTAGAAATGCACCCTTTCTTACGCATTTTGGCTTAAACAGGAGGTGAAATTCCTATAGTATCACACGATTTCCAGAGCAGGAGCTCTGAGTATGTCATTAAGTATCGGCAGCTCTTAAAAAGCCCATTCACTGGTCTGCAACGGGATCTTCAGTTGCCTTTGCTGCTTCCTGCTGGTGTCTTCTGGAGGAGGGAGGGCAGAAGGGTTCCTGAGACATTCCTGAGATGTATTCTAAGTGCTTTTCACTCATGCACTGCTCTTACACGCAGTCTGAAATCCCTTCTGCTCTTGTGACCGGCTACAGCCCAGTTTTTCTAGGAAGGACTCAAGGTTATCTCACCAGCCCCCCAAATGCCATCACTGCAAGGCACTTTGGACACCTTTGGGCAGCTGAGCAAACGGCAGTGTATCATCCCCTACTTGCACGACTGCTTTAAAACTTTTTTTTTAGTCCCAAGTCCCAAGCTTTTTCCACAAGGAAATACGGTTAATTTGGCCACTCTGCAAAACGCGATGTAGATGCAGCTTTGGTGACTAGACCAGGGCCACCAAGGACATCACTAGCAGAGCTGTTTGCTGAATTTTTGTCTTCTGAGTGTCCGGCTCAATGTCTGAGCCACCCAGAGATGTTACAGCATTGCGCTCCAGAGGGCAGGAGCAATGCCATGCGTTTGTCCCATCTACCCCCGCACACTCACACCATGAAGGTCCAGCTCATGCCGACACACTTACATAGGTGTCGTGGTCATATATTTCCACCACGATGTTGGGAGGGGAGTCAGATACGTTCTGGGGGTCCCCAAAGATCTCTATCTCGTAGAAGATGAGTGTCTGGTCCCAGGTGGGGTTCAAGGTGTTCTTGATCACCACCGTCTTCTGGCTTTGGTGGAGGAAGGAGACAATGGCATAAGGATCTGCAAGGGACATTAGACAAGAGGCAAAGGATGAATCAGAGCTACCCGTCTAGGAAGGAGAAAGCAACTCATAGTCCTTCAAGGGCCAATGGGCTCTGCAGGGAAGACTGTGAACAGGCTGGAGCTGCGGGTCTTTCAGAAACAGCAATGACATTCCCATCATGTCCCAGGCAACTCCAACTGAGAAGAGAGTGAGGCCAAGTTCTCCGACACTTATTACACTTATAACACCAGTTATTCGCAGCTCAGGTACTTCCCAAGCTAGGTGTGATGTCTGTATGTTTAGCAACCCTGCAAAGGGGTTGTCTTCCGCAGGCTTGCCCTGTCTCTCTTGAACCCACCATATCCTCCAGTGAGGACTCAAAACTGCATGAAGAACCATCTTCTCATGGTTTTTTGCAGTACCCAGCTCCCTCTACCTCCGTCTGAGACTCCCCAGTTCTTGCATTAGGAGAAAAGGAGCAGTTCACCCCTGCCCACCTGCACTGACACTTAGGGTTCTGCAGGTTTCTATCATGCCACCCCTAAAACATCTCTTTTTCAAGCTGAAGAGTCCCAGCCTATGGAGTTATTCCTCATAAAGGGCCAATCCAGATCCCTGCTCATTCCAGCTCTTTTTGGGACAAGACAACCACAACGGTCCACACAACTTAGCTGTCTATCTATGCAAAGACCTTCCTTCTTATCCCACAGCAGCCTCCTTTCCTTAAAAACCTTTGATGAAGGATTTTTTTACCAAAAACCTTGTGGATGTCCAATGAGACCATGTTAACCGGAGCAACCTTATCCTCTGGCTTGTGACAGCTCCAGCTAGTGGAGACACCGTGACCTTCCCTGGCCACATCTCCCAGAACTCCACTGCTGTAGCATTTAAAATTTCCTCGCTGTCTGACTTGATCCGTCCTGGTCCAGGTTATCCTCATGACTCCTCACCCTGTCCACCAGCAGTGAGGTAGCACAAATGGTTCACCTATTGCCCTAAGGTGTGGGGTTTTCTCCCAAAAGATGACTCTACAAGGAGGAGCGTTTCAAGGGTGGTAACACGGCCGTCTTCCAGCACAGCAGAGAGCACAAACTGTTTCCACGACGCAGTCTTTCCCAGGGAGATGCAGGAGGCACCAGCACTGCACATGCGGGTGAGCAGTGACTTCAGGTCACCCCCTGCTGTGAAGACCAGGCCATGAAGAAGGTGGCTGGGACATTACTGCCTCCTTCCTGGGGTCTTTAACACCTCCAGAAGGGACAGGAGCTGAGGCTGCAGCCAGCAACCGGCCAGAGTCATCTTCTCAGCCCCTTTGCATGAGCTTTGGTAACCTCCGTGTCTCGGGGAGGGGTTTGGGTTCCCAGCACGCCGGGTTATCCCACCTGGCCTCCAGCTGCCACACCAGACAGCTCCGGGTTTCCCTTAGGGTTGCTGCACCACATCTGCCAGCCCCATGCAGGCATCTCAGGTACGCCAGGGTCTCGTCAGCCCCCTGTACTTAGGGCACTGAGCTGGGACCAAGGTGTCTTACCCCTAACTTGGGACAAAGCCAGAGGTTTCTCACTGCAAGGCAGCAGCAAATAGTGAGGAGTAGCCTCCCTTAACAACCAAAGCAATTAACGCAGGAAGCCTGAGATCAATTAACAACGGAAACATGAAACCTGAGCCCTCTCTAACACCTTCCCTTCCAGACAGCTTCAAAGAGCATGTGGCCCAAACCTGCTGTGGACATCCAGCCCGTGCCCGCGGTGGCACTGGGCACGGGGACAGGACGGGCGGCGGCAGAACCAGGATCAAGGGCTGGGTGAGACGCTCGAAACGTGCCATGGGATCACACTGTAAGACCTCGTGGAGACTGAACACCTTTCATAACCTGATAGCATCTACTGGTCCTTGTCAGGGATGAGACCTACGTGATTGCTGCATCCCACCTGACCGGTCCCAGGTGGACCCCTGAGCTCTGGTTGCCTGCAAAGCCCAACCTCCACGGTGGCAGGAGGCATCACGGGCCTTTTTGGAAGGACACAGGCTACCTCCTCTGCCTGGCACCCAGCACGACGTGCCACCACAAGACAGAGATACACCGGACAGTCTATGGGGGTCCACCAGCATGCAGCGGGGTACCACCCAGGTCACCCCAAAGCCAGTCCCAAGAGACCTGCCGACAGCCAGGAGCATGGCAGACCCTACAAACCCCCGCAGTCCCAGGGCGGGTCCCCCCACCCTGCAAAACAGTGTGCGCACCCCAACACCAGTGCTATCAGGAGACTTTGAGCTTACGCTGGGAGCAAAATGTGTCCTGCCTACCCTGGAAGTGGAGGAGCATCCCCCAGACACCCGAACACGGGGCTGGCTGAGCAGATCGGCGTCCCCCACCCTCCGTCCCCTCTTCCAGGGATGGGGGGGGGGTCAAGGGTGGTGTATTTTCTTTCTTGGCGTCCGGACCGCAGCAGACGTGTTTAATGAGCCGGGGCTGTTTGCGAGGTGGCCGGCTGGAGAGAGCACTATTCACACTGAGAAGAACCTTTTCCACTTACGCGCTTTTTTCCAGTAAGAGGAAAGCAGAATGCGTTACAATAAACAAAAAACCATGGATTTGGATTTGCTTTTTTGCTCTTTTTTTTTTTTTCCCCCCTCTTCTTCTTTTTAAAGGAGGCCTCCATAAAGCCTCTTTGTTTAGACCCTCGTGTGCACAGAAGGTTTATTTTTATAACTGCGTAAAGCCCCCTTAATGAACTCCTTTATGCTTTGTTAAGGCAGCGGAGATCACAATTCCACATTGTGGCATGTTGTTACTCATGTTGTCCTTGGCCGGGTTTTTCCGAAGGAAGGGACTCCCCTCCCCGCTCCGCCAATCGGGGCCATGAGGTCACCTCGGTCCCCACCACTTCGAACAACAAACCCTTTGTGGAGGCAGAGGGGAGACGGGACCTCGGTGGGCACAGACACTGGGTGATTGTTTGGGTGCTCTGCACCTCTCCAGGGCATTTCTGCCCACCCCACACCCTAAGCCCCTCTGCTTCAAAATACCAGGGGGAGCAGGAGCCCCCCAGGACTGTGGTCCTGCTGCCCAGCACGGTAACGCCCAGCTGTCCCCGCTCGCTGCTCCCCGCTGCGGGTCCCCGCGCTGCACTGTTTTTGGGGTCTGTCCCTGTATCCCATCCAAGATCCATCACCCCCATGCCAACACTGGTGGGCAATCCCATGCCCAGCCCCTCTGCAAATCCCTGCGGCAGACGGTCAGTGACAGCCTTGGAGGGATGCTCATTGCGTCCTGCCTGCGGGCATCACTGCGGAGGGGTGTGGGTGCTCCGGGGATACCTGCCCCGGGACCTGCTTACATCTCAGATGTGGCCCCTGCCTCAGGGCACTGAACTGATGGGAGACTTTTTGCATTGCCCCAGCTCCAGCTCTGAGTCAGAGGTAAACAGCGACGTCCCCACTGTCCTGCTTTCCCACCTCAGAGTGACACTCCAAAGCATTAACGGCTGTGGGCAAAGGCAGCTTTGCTCACAAGCACCGAAGAGCCACGGGGAAGCCTGGCTGGGATGGCCCAGCCCATGGGGAAGAGGATGTGGGACCCTCCGGCTGCTTGGGGGCTGGTCCCTGCTCAGGTCAAACGCGAGGGACCATTCCTGGCATGTCCTCCCGCCTCCACAGCCACACTTCAGCCTCTGCTGCAAACAAAACGTTCCTGAAACCAAACCACCTACACCCAAGCACCCTTCAGCACCCAATGGTAACAGAGCTGCCCAACGGATAAAGTGACATGTCTTATTCTGGCTTGATTTCCTAACCCAGAAAACATGAGCTCAGCACGGGACATCCCGACCACATCAGCTCAAGTCTGGCAGTTTCAGAAGTGCCTGAAGCTGTGCTGGGGACGTGTTGAGCAGCAGGACGTGGAAAGCTCCTTGCTCAAAGCCCAGGACGCCCTTTTCTCCACCTGGGACCACACTTTTTTCCATGAAGGGCCATTTTTTACAGTCCGGTCTGAAGGACGCCTGGTTCAGGCATTGGCTCCATCAAGGAAATCCCCCAGCCGTTCCCTCCCAGCCCCCTTGCAAAGTTTCCAGGATGGAGAGCGGAGGAGCAGCAGCTCAATTTAATGTTCGGTCGTGAAAACAAATACGAACCGTTTTACAGATTTGCCACTGTTAGGTATTTTCCTTTCCAACCGTATTTTCAATCAATTCTTTCATCCTTAATAAACGGGGTCTCCCTTCTTCAGCCTTGATCCCTTCCCCAAACCATAGGACAATTCCCCTCCACAAACCCCAAACCCAGGAGGCTGCTGGCCCCCTGCCCTGCAAGGGTGGGCAAGAGGCTGGACGGGATTCAACCAGCTGGGAGCAAGCTGGATGCTGAGGGCACGTAAATCCGACCAGAAACTTCATGAGGATGCCGGAGAAGAAGGTGCCTGTCTGCTCCGAGGTCCTGATAACACCCTTGCACCCTCTTTAATTTTTCTGAGCACATCTCATGGAGGTTTCTGCCCCGTGCTCCATCATCTCGACACCAGCCCAGAGCCCTCCATCCTCCCTGCAATCCCCCAGCTTGCACGCTGTGCGGGGGGGCAGCTCGAGGCGATGTGCCATGGTAAACATCCCTGCCCTCCGCTCTGTTTTTATTTGTCATGCCCCTGAGCCGTCTGCTACCCAGCCTTGCCACCGGCTTTCAGCGTCACCTCGGGTCGGGGAGAAGGAGCTATTAGCAAAGCAAACAGCTCTGACTCACGGCTGACCTGGGTAACTTGTGGTTTCTGGTTGGTTTCTCACACAAGAGTTCTTGAAACTCTGATTTTTTTGCTGATGGGAAATCAAGCTACCAGGCTGGTTGCCCTGGGAAAGCCTTGTGCCGCTGTCTTTTGTTGTTTGGCTGCCGAACACCCCTCATTTCACATCAATAAATACCCCAAAATTTGCTTTACAGACCCCACTACTCCCCAGCATTCGTTACGGCACTAATTACAAGCACAAACAAGTGGACGTGAGCATTTGGGCTTACCTGAAAAGCTGTCCTTATCCATGGCGATCAGATCCCGTGCTTGGTACATGTAGCAGCGGAGGTGGTATCTGTTCCCACCTGTATAAATGAGAAACAGTTAAGAGATGAGTCCAGGGATGAGTGCAGGGCACCGGGGGAATAGCTGGGTGTTTAAGCAGCCCCAGGCTCATCTCTGAGAGCAGCTCGGTTTAATCCTTCCCGCGGCTTTCCCAAGAGAGCACTGAGCCCTGAGCATGTCGATGTTCCCAGGGGGACAAGCCCTGCCCCATCCTTACCCACCCCGCTCTTTCCATCCGCCTGCACTCGAGGCAGGTGAGAGGAAGAGGATAGGAAATGCTCGGCTATGGGGTCCCCGCAGCAGGGACCCCGTGCCAGGACTCGCTGCAGGGGAACTGCACCCTCGCCTCCGACCCCTGGGGCCTTACAGTCAAATATGCACGAAATGGTGGGTCTGTTGACACCGAAACTGAGGGTGGAGATGGATTTGCCATCGTCACTCCTGTCGTCTGTCACTCCTCCCTGCAAGAGAAAGCAAGGCAAGGTCGGTCATGCCGGGACCCCCTCTGCGGCCGGAGCTCCCCGTGGGACGGGGTCATCCAGGGTATTATCCACGTGGGTGTCCAAGAGGACTTTCGGCTTCCCCATGGAGGGACCCTCAGGCTCTTCTGCCCCAGGAGGGCAGAGACGACCCAGCTCCTGATCCATGCCGTGCTGGGAGGGAACAGGACACGACAACAAAAGCAGCCCGAGGGTCACCAATTCGCATCCCACCTCCCAGCATCTCACCAGCACGGAAAAGCCTCTCCATAAAGTTCATCATACTTGGAGCAGTAGTTAGCAGTTAAAGCAATTTCACTAAGTTCCCTTGCGAGCAAAATTAATGGAGTATAAACTTTGTGAACGGTGATACAGACAGCGTCAAATGCAGCCAAATGCCCCATTCACTGCCCGGGGGGAGCCTCAGCCGACCTTGGCCATCGCTCTTCCCTCTTCTCGTGTTCACCTACGAGAGCTGGCCTTTTATCACCTCCTAATTGCCACATTTGGCTTGAAATATTTAGTTGCAGCAAAAGGAGCGTAAAGGTAACTTCCTGGCGAGTTTAAATCTGATCTTTAAATATTTTTCAGTTATCGAATGCTAGGGAGAGACAGGAGGGGTGTTTAAAGAAAAAAAGGAAAAGAAAGAAGGAAAAAAGAAAAAAAAAGCGGGTCCGGGATGGAGATTCCGGAGCCCGGAGCTGCCTGGTCCCAAAAACGCGTCAGGAGCTTAGGTGGTCTGCAGAGCCCTCCTTGCCTTTCCGGGCAGGAATCGCAATTACCGTGACATTGTCTGCAGAGGAAGCCCAGGGGTTTGCGCTGTATTTACGGCGGTGAGGTCGCGCCGAGGGTTTGCAAGGCAACCTCCAGCGCTGCCTTCCCTTCCTCGCCCCCCTCCCCGCAGGAGCTGAATAGCTCCTCAGTTATTTTTATGACCTTTCTGCCCGGCGGACCGCCGGTCCCCCCAGTCCCCCCACCCCGACCTGCGCCTGCTGCCAGCCTCAGGAAGGGCAAGTGGAGGGGACCGGGAGCCGAGACAGGCAGGGATTGCTCTCTGAATCCCTCAGCAAGGGCTTAGGGACCCCCCAAGTCTGTCCATCACGGGGAAGGGGGGCTCCTCACCCCCCAAAACACCATGGAAAGCACGCCTTGGAGAGGGAAAGTTGGAAAACGCTCTTGCTCAGGACTACGATTTGCCCTTTGGGGTCTCCACGCAGGATGGAGTACCCCCACAACCTCCTCCCTTCGTCCCGTCCCCGCAGGGTTCCCAGGCACCCGATTCTGCAGTGGGAGCCCATGCACGGTGCACGGTGCAACGTAGCAGCCACACACCTCGGGCGTAGGAGCACTGGGGGACAGAGGCACCCTCATCCCGGTGGCATCCCACCGCTCTGCCCCGAGCAGGACTCCTCTGCCGCTGGGCTTTCCCACCAGGACCCCCACGCTTAGCACAGCCGGCTGGTAGTTTGGGCACAAAGCTACAGACCCCCACCCTGGCCAAAGCCTGGTTTAACTCATGTCCCCACTCCTCTCCTGCCTGGGGAGCGGTGGTTCAAACACGCCTGGTGCAGAGCCAAAGGTGGGGCGTAAGCGCCGGCAGAAACAGGCAAGATTTTCCAGCCTGGCATGGAAAACCCAAAGCTCTCTGTCAGCCAAAGGTTTCCCTCGGATGATTTTTGGAGGAGGATGGGAGGAAATGGGGCTTGCAGGGTGGGAGGGCTGCTCGCAGCTCCGCGGCAGAGCCACTGGGCTTTCCATCAGAAACCAGAGATGGCCTTGAGCCGCAGAGCTTCAGCTCTGGGCTTCCCAGAAATCGGACTGAGGGCAGAGAGGTGCCCGGGGGCCACACCATGTCCCATGGTCCTTCTCTTTTAACGACTGCCAGTGATGAGCGAGCTGCCAAATGGCAGGTCCCAAAAAAGCTGGGACACACTGTCACAGAGAGGGAAACCCAGGAACAAGCTGATACGATGGAGGTGATGGCCAAGCCAGCAAGCCCGAGGGAAAGGAAGGCTGCCCAGCTCATATGGGGGGATGCACAGGTGAAATACAGGCAAAAAGAGAGGAAATGACAGGACAGCGCTGCCTCCACATTTTGGGTATGGGTGGGAGTGCTAAAAGCCTTCTGCATCACCAGCTTCTTGGTCTCAAGCTCCCCATTGGGAGCTGGGACCCATCATGAGAAGCAATAAGCGCCAGGTGCTTTGTGGCTGTCCCCGGGGGTAGAGGGGGGGTGCCAAGTCACAGGCAAGGGAGAGGGCAGGGTGGCCACGGCAAGGGCAAAGGGGGTGGCCTGGAGGACGGGATGCTTTGCCCGGGACACTCGTGGCCTCACCACAGGTCTGCTTCCCTGAGTCCTGCCCTGAGCCACCTGTGGACTGTCCTGCAGGAAGGCTCCAAGGACTGCCGAGAAAACGGCACAGCAGGAAGGAAAGAGCCATCATCCTTCTGCATTGGAAAGCACACAGCTGGGTGCAGCAGGAGAGGGCAGGTGCATCAGTGGGAAGCAACGTCTGAGGCAGCTCAACCCACCCCAACGGGCACCCCAAATCCATCAGGCTAATTGCATCCAAGGCAGCCGAAACCCAGTGCCACGTGGCAGCACCACAAGCCCTCGCAGCAGCACGTGGCCCAGCTTCGGGCAGCACCACCCTGCGAGCAGCCGCGCTGCCCAGCCCCGATGCTGCTCCCCATGGGACGGGCGATCGGGGAATGTCTCCTCCTCCCCATTGTTTGGGGTCAGGGGAAGGATGGAGCATACGTGAGCAGCGAAATAAAAGTCTTGGAGCAAAAGTAGGGGTGAGCATGTGCTTGGGGAGAGCAAGCATGCAAAAGAAATCATGCACGCGTGTGCACGCAAGTATGTGTGGGTCTGGGGGGTCATCGTGACGCAGTGGGGCCGGGCGAGGGGAGCAAGCTGGGGTGACCTGGGCACACAGCAACCCCCCGGCTCTTCCTGCTGCAGGGAGCGGGGCTGGCTGGGAGCAGACGCCCGCACCCTGCAGGTGGTGCTGAACTGATGCTGAGCTCACCCTGCAAAGGTGCTGAGCCCCACGCACGGCCCCGGGGCTTCAGCTGCTCAGCTCCACCACTGGAGTGGGATTTTTCGGGGAAGCTTCCGCCAAGGAGTCACGAGCTCCTACAAAACCCTGCTCAGCAGCAGGGCAACCCGGTGGGGCTCTGCTTTCCAGTTGCTCCCAGCTCTGGGTCACCCTGATCCCAAAGTGTTGGGGTTCAGCATGTCTTAACGGCAACGATTGCGCAGTTTGGTAAGGCCGGAGCGATGCACGCTGAGCATCCCCGGGAAGAGGGAGGCCCAGAAACCCCAAGCACCATCCACACATTCCTGCATCCAAGACACATTCCTTCTGGTCATGTTTGGTATTATCTTGCTGTTGGAAACCAACCCTTTCACATAGCTCGGGGAATTAGCACTTGGGGTGTTGGCTTGTTCTGTCTGAGTTTGCACTTTAATCCTCCCTCCATTTCAGTTTCCCTGCACCGCCGTACGGCTCCTTTGCTGGACGGGCTCCGGGCAACCCATGCCACAACCACAAAAATCGCACAAATGCCTTTCGTGGAGAAGGCGGCAGATAACAGGAACGGGACAGAGCAGACAGGAGGAGCTTCGGGAGGCTCCAGCAACCGGTGGCGTGCCAGTGGCAGCCCTGGCCCCAGGCCTGGGTAAAAGCTGAGCTGGGGGATGCTCCAGGCTCCCTCTCCTGACAGCATCTTTATTCTGCTTCAGCGTGATCAGAGCTGGCGGCAGCAGCTCAAACTCCAGCTGCTGACCTATCCGGGCGCCCTTCTCGGACTCCGCGCCCCTGACACCTCTGTCTTGAAAAGCTACCTCCCTCTGCCTGCGTTAAAAAAGCATCGGAAATAGAGTGGAAAATCAGTGCCCACCCTTCCCAGCCCCCAGCACCCACTCATATTTTCCCATCCTCGGCACCACTTCACCCCACCACACTGATCCCAGCTCTGCGGCATCACGCCGAGTTCCTCCTCCTGCTCGCGGCTCCAGCGGATGGAGGGGTCGACCCTGTGCAGGACCGGAGGGTCTGGGGTTGCTGGATGGGAGATGCTATGAAGATTTAGGTATTATTTTGGGATGGAGCATCCTGGAAAAATACGTAAGTCATTCAAGCGAGAGAGGAGAGCTGTAAAGGCATGAAGCTGCAAAACCAGAAAGTATGGCAAGATCATTTATAAAGCAATCCTCAGAAAACCAAGCAACCACAGAAAATGCGGCCAGTAACCCCAAAATACGAGGGCACCGAGGCGAGCCAGAGTGACCTACTGTGGAGGGGAATTCGGCGAGCAGAGCCCCAAAGGCGGGCGGGCCAGTCCTGCACCCTCCAGGCTGCCAGGAGCCGGAGCCAGGGCTGGGGAAGGATTCACCTGCCACTCTCCCGGGCTGCTCCCTCCCGAGCTGTCACCCTGCGGGGACAGCATCCCCCGAAATCTCCGTGCCTGAAGTAAATACTACTCCTTGTCAGACGGCATCGCCCTGCCTGGGCAATGGTTCAACTCCCAGAAGCAGCACGGTCCTACAGCGGGACCTGGTGCTCCCGCAGGACCCTGCTGTCACCCAGGACACCGCTGAGGGTTTTCCTTGTGCTTTGCTGAGGTTCAAGCAGGGAAAATTTATGGTCCAGGCATTTGCTTGGTGTAAGGGAATTGGATGTCTGCATTGGGGTCGTTATAGGAGCAGCAGTGACCTTTAGGGCAGTGTTTGCTGGGGAAGGGGGAGAGAGAAAAGCAAGGCAAGGCAAGGCAAGGTATGGCAAGGCAAGGCAAGGTATGTTTGCTGGGGAAGGGGAAGAGAGAAAAGCAAGGCAAGGCAAGGCAAGGTATGGCAAGGTATGGCAAGGCAAGGCATGGCAAGGTATGGCAAGGCAAGGCAAGATATGGCAAGGCAAGGCAAGGTAGAACGACTGCTTTTTTTGCTAGAATTGTTTTCAGTTAGAAAATAAGCAAAATAATAAACTGGATTTGTTACATGATAATATAATAAAAGTTATAGAAGTAACTTTGGCATAAAGATAAATGAGAGCTCTGGGAGGCTGCTAAGAGCTCGGCACTTAACGCTAACTGACACCGCTAAGAAATGCTTGGAAAATAAATACGCAAAGTAGGTAACATCAGGTCTAACAGGCTTTGGGGGTGGAGGGCTGGAAGGGGCAGCCCCCAGCAGCCTGGGGCAGGTGGGGGTCCAGCAGCACAACAGTGACACCGGGGGACACTTAAATCAACCGGGGACCCCCTGCCACCGCATCCGCGTCACCAGAAGAGAAGCAAGAAGCAGCTCCCAGGCACGTTGCCACATTGCCATTTTAATGGGGCTTTTTTCTCCTCTTCCCCTTTGCTTCAGCCTCTGCCCTACACGCATGGGGAGGGGATTTTCCTCCCCCGGGTCTCCCCCACATCCCCTGGTACCCCCAGCAGACGGGTCCGTCAGCCGCCAAACTCACAAACCCGTTTCATTTGCGGGCTAACGAAGGCGAAACGAGGGCACGGCTGAGCCCCTTGGAAAACCGCACGACCAAGCGGAGACCCAAGGCAGCCCCATCAGACGCTGCCCACCCACCTCCCCTCGCCCCCGGAGACAGGGAAGGGCACGGGGGGTTCCTGCACGGCCCCATGGGTGTGCACGCACACACACACATGTGTGCACGGACACGCACCCCATGTTATAGGGTTTTCCAGCTAAATCCTCCTCAATTGCCTCTGCTGAGATGCAGAGGGATGAAGGGTCTGGCCAGAAATCATATCAACGGGCCCCAGGCTGAAGGGGGAGAAGCCAGGGTCCCACCGGCAGCCCTGGGGGTGGGCAGCAGCTGGGACCCCCCTCGGATGGGGCCAGAGTGAGCTCAGGGCTGATGCACGTGGACACCATGAAGCCGCTGGTGTCCCAAAGGGGCTGCTGGGTTCAAACGCTGGACGGAGGGAAGGACAGAGCAGAGAAGGAGGGAAAAAAAAGCCAAATGGGGGGGAAAAAAATAAAAAGCCCTATAATAGGGGCTTTGTGCTGCTGTGGTTGGTTCTCATTTAGTTATTGGAAAAGCCAAAGGATTATGAAATCCAGTGTATTAAGAAAGCCAGAATATTAGCTAAACAAACAGCGGCGGGTGCAGGTGGCAGATAACGAGCTTTGCTCCGGGTCCGCTCCCTGGGATGGGACGGAGGGTGGGAGCAGACCCGACCGGGCTCCCCCTCCCAGGCAGCAATTTTGGGGGGAAAGGTGGGTACTTACCAGGGCCCCCTCCAAGGCGAAGACTGCGGCGGCCCCGGTGCGCTCCAGGGGCTCCATCCTGCGCCTCCAGCGGCGGCGGCGGAAGGTGTCGGTCCGGCGATGCTTCAGGTGGAAGCGCCAGCCGAAGAGCGAGGCGTACTCCCAGCCCTCCCCGTCCAGCTCCTCCTGCTTGTGCTACGGGGCAGGGACACGCCAGGGCTCAGGGGGGCTCGGTCCCACCACCCCACGGCCCCTCTGCAGGTGACAATGGCGGGACCCCGGCACAGCCAAGGGGCAAAGCCGCTTTGGGGGTCTCCAG